GTCTGTGTCTGTTTGCAGATTTTGATCACTTTAACACATTTTTGTCACTTTTCTATGTTTTTTTTAATCACTTTTATTGTTCAAGTCGGAGACGTCTGCGCAGCTACGAAATTTGAGATATTGTCAAACACAAAAAGAAAAAAATTGTATAGGTCCTCTGGACGGGTTCTTCTCTAATGAAACGTTTCGTCTCTCCTCCAAGAGACTTCTTCAGTCTGAGAGTTTCAGGCAAAATTCAGGCTTTTAAGCCCAGCCTCCATGTGACTGATACTCACATAACATGGCTATCGCTGACACCTAATTAACACTTATTGTTAACAGAGTTAACAGTTAACAGCGTGATACTGGCAATGGCCGCACTGTAGGTGGGGGACAACTGAAAACGGAGGCCTCCACCTCTGCCGTAGCCATGTGATGTGAGTATCAGTCACATGGAGGCTGGGCTTAAAAGCCTGAATTTTGCCTGAAACTCTCAGACTGAAGAAGTCTCTTGGAGGAGAGACGAAACGTTTTCATTAAAGAAGAACCCGTCCAGAGGACCTATACAATTTTTTTCCTTTCAAAATATAAATTGTTTCACTTTTATAAATAAAGGCTAATTTGTATTTTTGATATATTTATTACCAAACACAGTTAAAACCAATCAAGTCATCGTAAAGAATCCACAGTGTTCCTGTCTGGGTTTTTTTGTTCATTTGTAATACCGGAAACACACTCTAAAAAGGAAATGTTGGATTTACTTAACCATGTTATGTTACCTGGTTCCACTTTACTGAGTTGAGTACATTCAACGCAACATACTCATGTTCTTTGGCTAAAAAAACTGGTGTATTGCTTTGAATTTACTCAACTCGGTTAAGTGGAACCAGGTAACATAACATGGTTAAGTAAATCCAACATTTCATTTTTTACAGTGCACAAAAGAAAAATCAACTATTACTATTTCCTAATCCCCTATTTAAATTGTATCTTTCCTCTCATTTTCTGCCTGTTGGGAAAAGTTGCCATGGATCTTGGGAAAAAGCTCAGCACTCCACAAGACATCATGTTGGAGGAGTTATCGCTGCTGTCCAACCGAGGATCTCGACTCTTCAAAATGCGCCAGAGGAGGTCGGACAAATACACGTTTGAAAGTATTCAAAACGAAGCGAACACCCTGCTGAGTGTAAGTCAGCTGGTTTTTATTGCTCACAGTTGCATGTAAGAGCAATGGTTCTGTCCAGACTGTCTCTGTGGTGTGACAAGCATGGACACTGACTGAGACACATGCCTCGTGTTTTTATCTGTTTTGTGAGAGGCTGCTGCAGACACTTCATACTTTATCGGTGCATGCTGATGTGTTGTAGTCCGTTTACAAGGATTTGTGTCTTTTTGTGTACTGTTGCTTTGGCACGAGTGTTTGAAAGACTGACAGATACTCAGATCAAACACACAACTCTATATTTTCTTTTGCAGAATGACCTTTTAAATCAAAACGCACATAACGTGGAAATCAAAGTGGAGCCACAAACTACTGGAAACTCTGCAGAAAACACGACTTCAGGTAATCACTCAGTTCAACAAAGTTATTAAACTCTTACTGAACATTAAATCATATAATAAAGTTAACTTAGATAAAAAACAAGCAAGTCTTCCGTCACAGTTTGATGATACAGTAGCTGCTGAACATTTGAACATCATATCACACAGCTGTGCAGCCTTATTGCATTAATGAAGATATTGTACATAAATAAGATTTGACACAGAACTTAAGTGCTTTAAGTGATTCTCCTGCAGAACGTTGTGTTTAATCTTGTCTTAGCTCATTATATAATCAGTACAAACTCCAAATGTGCTATTTTAGTTTCTTAAATTGTGATGATAGACAGTTCAGTTTGTTTGTGTTAAGTGCTTTCAAAGCACAGGATCTATTTTAAGCCCACCCACTTTGAAATTTTAGGCCAGAGGAAACAGCTCGATCCTATCTGGATCATAATATAAAAACATTTTTGACAATTTTATCTCATAGTTATGACTGCAGAGAAGCTGAAAAGCACAGTTATGCACAAGACTTATCACTCGCCGTGGGCAGAGGCCATCCTCGGTGACCCTAACCTCGCTGAAACTCTCCAACTCGGGTTGCCAGAGCTGGTGCCGCGAGGAGAACTCCCCGAGTATAAATGCTTCAACCGGTGAGACGATGGCAAGCAGTCTAAAAATGATTGGGTCAGAGCTGCTCACGGTACAAATTGAAAATTTCCTCTCAATTGCAGAGTCGCCACTCCATATGGTGGCTTTGAAAAAGCTCCCAGAGGAATCACGTTTAAGATCCCCGAGGTGGACCTGAAGCCACCCGAATACCAAGAGCTCCGAGAGCCGGGGATGAAGAGGCCCACATTCAACAGGACAGCCCAGGGATGGATATCTGAGGGCACCCACCTCATTATACCCACTATTACACTGGAGCCCGTCAGCGTGCCCGAGTCTGATGACCTGTAGATTTTAATGGATCACCCAACATGATGCAGCATTTAGTTTCTTAGATCAACCTGAGACAAAAAAGTAAAAAGTAGCTCTGTTGCACTCCTTTTTCAATCTGAAATTTAATCCTGTGCGATGGACTAAAGATGTGATGTTTGTTCTGACTGTATTTTTACTGGAAAAACTCAATGAAGTCAGATATGTAAATAGCAAATGACATGTGCGGTGAATAAAATCAGCAACCATGAAAACAAAGCTATTATTCAGTGTGCCGAAGAAATAATAAATGTGTAAATAAAGTTTACAGCGTATTTATTATTTAGGTCCAAAAAAATGCAGTAAAATAATGTAGCTCAACCTTTTCACCACAGCTGTATGTATATTTAACACAAAAATCAGGAAATCAGTGTTTTGTAGATTTTTAGGGGTCCAAGCCCGCAGAAGCAGGGTAACGCAGCTGCAAAGCAGCAGCGTTTCCTTGACTCCAGCAGAGCATGGAACCCTATTGTATCTGTTCCGTTTATTTATTTATTTTTTTCTGCCGGTAAAACTCATACTGCAGCCTAAACCGCAGGGGCTACAACAAAGATTTTAACAAGGTAGTTAAATAGGGTTACGAGTATGGAGGAGAAAAATAATCAGACATGTCAACTCATAGGGGGTGCCATAATCAAGGTCTTTGCATTTGGTCTTCTGGCTTCTAAACCATAAGTCACAAATTTTTTTTTGGATTATTGCAGCATAATCCCTGGACACCACTGAGTCACATGGTATAGGCCATGCCCATTTCCGCCAAAACCTTTTTTTTTCTACAGTGCAAAATTTGCAAAAACTACTTTTGGCTTTGTTTTAGAGAATCAAAATTCGATTGCCACAAAACTCACCATCCTACATCTAGTTTTTTCTTGTAACAATGTTTTATGGTAATAAATCTTATTCTGTGCACCTGACTGGCTGCACCTGGGGGAACCAGAAGCTCAAAACAAGTGTCAAGCGACTGGAAATGGCAGAGAAGATGTGACTTTTTTCATGTGCACAGCTTTACTGCTCATCCCATGCATGATCCATACAAATGTGGCACCGTTTAAAAGGGAAATTAACAGGTTTTCCAGTGGTATAAGATTYATTGCCCAGAAGCATTGTTACAAAGAAACCTACCAAACATAAATGTCATTATATTTTGTGCTGAGTTTAGATACATCCATATCACATACTGTATACATACACATGAATAATTGGATTAATGATTATAAATAATGAAACTAGAAATTTTCAGTTGAAATTTTAAAGTGCAGGTGACGCACAAAAATCAAACATCAGCTTTGTATTAATCTATGCTGCTACTGTCGATGACTCACTGGATTACCATGGGAATGACACACCTGTGTTTTTCACTCCCTGACAGCCAAGGTAAGACAGACAGATAGACTGAAAACTCTAAATGGAACAGTTGCTGCTCGAAAACTGTGGCTTGTATTTTGAGGATCCTCAAATCATCAGCAATAAAAGACTCTGTTGGGTCAACCATATAAATTTATTCTCTTCCACAGTGTTTTATGTAAGAGAAATTAGATTTTAAAAACAGCCCTTTCTTCCAGTTTTGAAAAAAGAGTGTCGGAGGTAAAATAAGAGGAAATTTGTGGAATCTTGGGTGTGCACTTTCTGAGCTCTAAGCGGGAGTATGAAGAGACTGCTTGAAATAAATTTGATCTTTTGACAGTTCAAAAGTAAGTGCCTCACCAAACAGTCAAACTGCGTATCTATAACCACAAGACTAATGATTTTTTTTTACTTTTCAGACAGCTGTAAAAAAAAACGAAGGAATACAAAAAAGAAAAGTCCACTGGTTGCAGGGTCAAAGCGAATTTGTAAAACACGAAAGGAAAAACAACAAAAAATCAATCTTCTAAAAATATGGATGCTATTCACACAGAACTTCACAGGCTCAGAAGGAGAACACAATTTATTTTTTTTTTCATTCATTTTTTTTCTTTTGTCTGACTTGAGTTGTGAGCCCGTGGGACATTTTGGGCGCAGGCACAGGTGACAGGATGTGACATGGCAGCTGTGAATTGGTTTCAACACTGAGAAATCATCACTAAAAAAATCCTCGCTCAAATCTAGACACAAAGTAATTGAAAACCTCCCCTTGTATTGGTAATGCACATTTACAGCTGCAGGAGAACGGAACGCTTCAGAGAAACCACAAAAAAGAAAGAAAACAGAAATATCCATCTCCAAAAATAACCTTTAGAACATCGACATCCACTCTGACAGCTCGTCTGAAGAGTTCAGTTGTGCCGCAACTTTTTTTTTATTCATATAAATAATACCAAACAACTGTGTGTGTGTGTGTGTCCCAAGGGAGGTTTCACTGCTTTAGCAACAGAATACTTTGGGAAAAAGCAGTGTCACTGAGATAGAACCAGTTTGACTCTGTTTACTCACTGCACATCTTTGTGAAATGTTCATACAGGATATAATTGCTGAGCACCCATAATCAAATCATTAAACACTTATCTTCACTCCGAGTGATTGATTTGTGTTGGTTTGTTTTTAGCATTTTTTAGTTCCTGACTGTTTCTGACTGGAATGACAGATTTAGGTCTGTGTAAAATAAGTGATTCCCAAGTTGTCAAAAGTTATTTTTGGCTGCTCTTTCAGCTCAGAGAGATCCCTAAAATAAGATAATGAAGATCAAATTATTATTGTGTCACTTTCTGGTTACTGGTTTAGATCTTGTATTAAACATTTGCAGCGCTTTCCTGACAGATTTGATTGTCAGGATCCCAGTTATTACTAAGTTAATTAAAGCAATAGTTTTAGATCTTTTGAAGCGTGGTTCTGTGGTGAGGCTGAGAACAAATATCTTACCTGTTGGAGATAGCCCTTTGACGGATCAGAGCGGGAATGCTGCCATCCAGGAACGACTCAACAACTTTATGCAAATGCTTTCTTATTAACCTTTATATTACTGCCAATTTCATATAACATTTTTACAGAGAATTTTGTGGATATTTACATGAATAAAAAGCATCAGCAGCAGCTAGCTGTAGCACTTTGCAAAGCAGCTTGGTACAATTACAGCAGGAATGTTGATTTCTTTTGGAAAAACCATGTGAAAAGGATAATGATGGAAATGTTTATAATTTTTATTTATTATTATTATTATTTTGGTCTTGGCTCAATTCAAACTGGCCATTAGCTCATCAGCCTGACAACAAATAATGATATAATTTCAACGCAAAAGTCTGAAATTTTGAATCCAAGTCAAACAATCAAGTAGAACATCACCCAAAGTCATATTTTTATTTCTGAAAGTTGGAGATTCATGACCACAATAAGTGAACAGCAAGTGGCTCTAGACACACATGACAATGTAAACAGTGATATTCCTGACACTCTATTAGCAACACTTATTATGTATTTAGTCTTTTATGACACTCTAAACTGACCATGTTTCATTCTCACACCAACATGTGTTTGTTCCAGGCTCATGAACTGGAATCTCTGTGAGAAAAGAAATGCAGAACCAATGTCACGTTTGCTGACCTCGGCATGCTTCAGCCTCTTTTAGTCCTACTGCCTTCACTTTATAACCTGCTCAGCGCTGCAGCCGTTCCCCTGCCAGGCCCTCCATCTGCCCCAATTTTTGCAACTCATCATCTTGTTTACTGCAGCATCAAGGTCCTAAAGATAGACACACTGATCTGAAATGCACTCCCCTGGAAAAAAAAGAAAATGAAAGAAAAAAAGTAAATTAAGTGATTTTATTGCAAATAAAAAATAGAATACACATGTTTGTGTGTCTTTCTCTGGTGTGTTTACACTTTTTGTATTGCCTGCTGCAGAAMGTGAAAGGTAATAATGTATTGGCTCCAATGTGTGTGTATTTGTTGGTTGCTTTAGCAAAATATCCCATGAACCGGATGGATTCTTTTTATTTTACAGTATTGGATGAAAACCAGCAACTGATTTGAAGTCAAGGTGATTTCCATGGGTAAGCAAATCTTAGTAAAACAAAAATGACAATAACTCAGTCAGTTTTTTAGACATTGAGCTAAAATTGATGTGATAGAACCTGACAGTAACTCACAACACACAGGTGGAA